TTTCTTCAAAAAATCCAATCTATTACCCTTTGAAAATGATGTTACATTCCAGCTTTCTCTGAGGTTGGGATTGCCAGGGGTATTCATCTTTCTTGAAGGACGTCCAGAGTTACAATTTGATTTCCTTAAACTTTTGGGAGTAATTGTACAGCCACTGAAATAAAGCCATTATCACTATGTTCCTTTGTAACAAATGGTTTTTGTGTGTATGTGCTCTGAATGTTTCATAGCAATGTTATTATCCCTTTATCAAAGATTGGAGCAAGAGCAAGAATTTAATAGATAGCTCCCAAGAGTAAGCATTTTAAAAAAAAAAACCTCAAGGAAAGTGCATCTAAAGACACACATCTTTGAAGACTGAAACATTTGTCAATATGGAAATACTTTGAAGAAAATTAGTTAGCCTTGAGAGGGCTTTTAATTAACTGAATAATAAAACATGAAAAATAGGAACAGAAAGAAGCGTTCCCCAAAACTCTTAAAACTCTTCACCACAGCATTGATTTCCTCCTTTAATATTATTGATCTCTTTTAGACTAATTGGCATTTTTAGAAGTAAATGCAAAACATAGTGTAATCATAAGTGTAGTACAGAAGCTCTTTATGATTCAAGTGCTACATCTTAGCAACATCCAGCTACTTTAATCATCCTACTGTGCTTGCTTGATATGTTAAAATGTCATTGCCTCTAACCTAATGCCTTGAGTTTTCTTCTCTTTAATCACAATGCTTCTATAGATCTGCCTTACACTGAGTCAGATCATTGATCCATCTTGCCACAGAATGGCAACTGAGATCCAAAACATCAAGTAAAGTTATTTTTAAGTTTCGATTGCTACCCAAGATTCTTCTAATTCTCATGTAGACCATATATGGCTCTTGTCCATTATCCGTGAACACTATAAAATCCAGGAGTTCTACATAGTTAATGGCAGGAGAAAGACTCCTATTTGGGCACTTCCAGGACAACTGTCTTGCACTGAGATTGTTTGGGCATTCGAAAGGCTTTAATCTTGCTTACCCCAATTAGTAATCCTGCTCCTGTTGAGATCAGTAGATAATAATGAAAGCTTTACTCTGCTTTTTCCAACTGGTTTTACAGTTGGGAGATATAATTTCCTGCAGACTCTGGTAGCAGTGCACTGACTTTTCTTGAAAGTCTAATCCAGAGGTAATCAACCTGGCACTCTCCATATATTTTGAACTACACCTCCCATAAGGCTCAGACAGCTAAGCCAGAGTTCTTTATGGGAACATTACCCATTCCTACTTAACCAGAGGAAAAAGGATATGGTCGTCATGGTAGCCTGATGGCACTCCTTTTTACAGAGTAATTTGTGTATTTTATTAGTGCTCAAGAAAATAATGATGGCAGTTTAAGTAATGACAGTGGAAAACATGGGATCAGCTTTCCAAAGCACAAGTGAAAGGCCATTTGAAGGACATTTAAATAGTAATAAATGGGCCGTGGTTACTTTCAGTTGTTATTTTATTTTAATAGATATGGAAATAGAGGTAGACAAAATAGCTATGTATACATTCAATTACTTGAACTGAGAGGGGACATCATGCAGTCCTCCAGACACTATTGGATTGCAATTTCCACTTTTTCTCGTCACTGTGCTAACTAAGCATTCTGAGACTTACACTACGATCATATCTGGAAGTCAACTTGGTTCCCAGCCCTTACCTGGATAATTTATAACAATTGTATAGTATTGTCAAAGATTTTCATGGCTGGAATCACTGGGTTGTTGTAGGATTTTTGGGCTATATGGCCATGTTCTAGAAGCATTATCTCCTGACGTTTCGCCTGCATCTATGGCAAGCATCCTCAGAGGTTGTGAGGTCTCACAACCTCTGAGGATGCTTGCCATAGATGCAGGTGAAACGTCAGGAGATAATGCTTTTAGAACATGGCCATATAGTCCAAAAATCCCACAGCGACCCAATTGTATAGTATTCCTCAGCAAGATGATTGAACATCAGTGGTGACATCAGTTCAAGGACTTCTTCAGACAATTCAGAATCTCTTGACCCATACCATTTCAGGCCTAGTTTTAGTACTAACATTGCCTTGGTTGGGGTTCTGAATGCTTAGGAAAAAGATGGTGGTGCTAATGTTTTTTAATTTTTTTAGTACACATTTGGCTTGATCGTGGTATAATAATTCTGGACTTATCTGATGGGCTCCAGAAATCTGTGCTAAAAACTGCTTGACTGCCTCAGAAAACTGATCTCATGAGATTGCAGATTGCTTCTTATACTTTCTAACATTCATACAAGACTAGTGGGATAGTATGTTCTGGACTTTAAAGTGAACTGTCATCACTCTTATACCAGAATTCATTAGTTTGGGGATTTGATATGGATAAGGAAACTAGTGATCAACCTAGAGTAGATGGAGATATTGATGGTAGAAAGTCTGCTGGACCTGGGAGTTAATGGATTCCCTATTGTGGATGTTATTGGGTTTTCTCCAACAATGATTCGGAGTGCTATTTGGAATGCTGCTAGATTTCATGTAGGAATCACAGGTGGTTGCCTTGACCCAGAGAACGCTTTAGCAGCAGGAGTGTTTTCATCACCAGCTGCTTTCAGGAAAAAAGACACAGATCTTGTGACACATGCTCTGGTGATCTCCAGACTAGATTACTTTAACATTCTTTATAAACCTATCTTGTAAATACAACTTGGGGACTTCAAAATGTGACAGCTTACTTGCTACCAGAAAGAAACAAATGGAAGAAGACATTGGCTTCCAAATTGTTTTGGTTACCTTTTGAAGTGCTAATTTTACACTTCAAAATGCTCAATATATTCTGGCAAAGCTGTCTTCAAAAACACCCTCCCCCATTTGTATCTTCCTCCCCTCCCTATGCCAAGGAAATCTCATAATGCCCTGCTCCAGGAATCATAACAATTTACCACATTTGTTTTGCTTTGTTTCAATTCCCTCTGTTTTTATTTTCTCATACTTTTAAAGGTAAAGTCACCTTGATGGCTTTGCTTCTTGTGTTTCTACTTTCTGTCCAGGTGGCATTTTCCTGCTCTCCTACCCTGATACCATACCTGCAAAGTTTCAGACAGATTGTACAAAGATTTTAGATTTTCTATAAGATTATTTTCAGAAGAGCCGTACTGTTCCCACTGCTGCTACAAATGCCATTCCTGTCCTAATGGCATGACATTTTCAGGCATCATTATATTCCCTCAGGACAATATTCTTGCTAAATTTCAAGCATACTGGGTGAAAATAATGCTGAAAATGTGCCCATATTCATTTTTCATATTTACATTTAGTTTTCTATTTTATCTATTAGAACAGGTATAAAAGATTTTTGGAACCTCTCATGTTGGACTTCCCTCCTAAAGAAGGACTTCTGTCAAATTTCTTTTTATTTTCAGGAAGTGGATAAGGCCTTTTTATGGGCGGGATGTGTTAGCTTGCATTCTTCAGATCTATTGCTGCTTGCTAATGTGTTGTGTTTAAAAATTTATAGTGTTTTAATTTAAATGTACAAAATACATTTTTAATCTTTTATTGAGCATTTTGATTATTTGCCTTGAAGGCTACATACAGATGTATTAATATTCCATGGAGCCAAATTAACTCTCATAAATGAATAAACAAATACTAAAAAAATCAGTTTGTGAGCCAGAGTACATAGCACGAGTTTTGCAATCTTAAAATATTCTTCAGATCGGCATAGTAACCAGATATATATAACCAGACTAGCCGTCCCCTGCCACGCGTTGTTGTGGCCCACATGGGGGTTCTGTGTGGGAGGTTTGGCCCAGTTCTATTGTTGGTGGGGTTCAGAATGCTCTGTGATTGTAGATGAACTATAAATCCCAGCAACTACAATTCCCAAATGGCAAGATTCTATTTCCCCCAAACTCCACCACTGTTCACATCTGGGCATATTGAGTATTCGTGTAGAGTTTGGTTCAGATCCATCACTGTTTGAATCCACAGTGATCTCTGGATATAGGTGAACTACAACTCCAAAACCAAAGGACATTGCCCACCAAACCCTTCCAGTATTTTCTGTTGCTCATGGGAGAACTGTGTGCCAAGTTTGGTTCAATTCCATCGTTTGTGGGGTTCAGAATGCTCTTTGATTGTAGGTGAACTATAAATCCCAGCAACTACTACTCCCAAATGACAAAATCAATTTTTTTGAGTGAAGGACATACATTGGGTTGTTAGGTGTCTTGTGTCCAAATTTGGTGTCAATTCGTCCAGTGGTTTTTGTGTTATGTTAATCCCACAAACAAACATTACATTTTTATTTATATAGATATATATAAAGAGATAATTTTCTAGAATATCCTGTTTCATTCGAGAGGTACTAATATTTCTTTTATAACATTCTCTTGATTCATATTGCTTGTAATGCTGGATCCTTGAGTATGTTTAAGAGTTGAATAAGCTGCCCCAGAAGGTGCCAGACTTCCTTTCTTTGGAGGTTTGTAAACAGATTTTATATAGCCATCTCTCAGGGGTGTTTTAGTTGTGCGCAGCTGCAGGAGGTTGGACTAGATCGACTTTGTAGTTCCTTCCAGCTTAATGATTCTGTGAAAAATAATGTAACAAAAAAGGTACATCTCTTGATAGCTATGGACAAAACTGTCTCTTCAGTGGTACATAACAAAAGCTGTACTTATTTTGAAGTAACTTTCACCCTTATATGACACATGCCCTGTTTGTCAATTTTTATTATAGTTGTTGACAAACAAACAAACAAATAACCACCCCAACCTCCTGCATAATATGATCATCATGTGCATAGAAATCAACTGAGATAGCAGGAGACCCAAAGACATAATTGAGTGCTTTGCAAGGAATAGTGATGGATTTTCAGCCACAAGAAGAGGAATGCCTTCCCACTGCTGCCAAAAATGCTGGGATCAATCTTTCTATCCATCTATGAATGTATCTCATTTCAGGATGTGTGGATTTCTCCTAATGTACAACTTTTTTCTCTTTATAACAGAAATACTCTGCTGTATCTCTTTGCAACATATCCACTGAAGTTCTAAAAGTCATCAATGCAACAGAGGAGCTCATAGCAGAATCCACAGGAACATGTGATTTCCCAGCAGATGCCCACGACAAAGGAAAAGGGGAGTTTCCATTAGGCACAGACCCTATCAGACTTGATGAGCAACTCACAACACTGGAAGAAAATGTAAGAATGACAGACAGTTGTATGGGTGTTGCAGAACACTGGGAAATGAGCACTGTATAGGTCACACATGAGCAGTGTATAGGCCACAGGCATTTTATGTTCCCATTGCCAAATCATAAATAGAATATAATAGAATATTTATTGTCATTGTACTATTTCACAATGAAATTAAATGCCTTCCCCAGCACACACCACAAAACAACACAACAATCTCTCCATAAGTTTTTAGTCAAAAGTAGAGAACTGTGCCTCTACAAAGCTTTAAGTGGAATAACTCCTCTGGTAGAATCATAGAATTGGAAGAGGCCCCATGGACCATCCCGACCAACCCCTGCCAAGAAGCAGGAAAATCACATTCAGAGCACCCCCGACAGATGGCCCTCCAGCCTCTGTTTAAAAGCCTTCAAAGAAAGAGCCTCCACCACACTATGGGGCAGAGTTCTACTGCTGAACAGCTCTCACAGTTAGGAAATTCTTCCCAATTTTCAGGTAGAATAGCCTTTCCTGTAGTTGAAACCCATTGTTGGTATGTGGCCTATGTTCTGTATCTCAAAATCTAGAGCTGATGGAGGAAAACCATATTTGGAACCAACAAGGCACCAAACAGATATAATGTTTGCGGCACCAAAATGTGTGTTGGCCAGTGTACCAAATGATAACCATATTTTAAATGATAATGCTGAACAACCATAACAAAGTCATACACTTAACTGAGCATCTTGATATCTAGTTCGAAGACAAATATAATACATTTCATTGTTCTCATTTATTTGGATTGATCCACCATTTCCACTCTTCTTTTTCACCTTCCCTTTCATCGCCCTCCCTCCCTCCCTCCCTCCCTCCCTCCCTCCCTCCCCTTCTTCTTCTTCTTCTTCTTCTTCTTCTTCTTCTCCTCCTCCTCCTCCTCCTCCTCCTCCTCCTCCTTCTCCTCTTCCTCCTGTGTTTGTTTTGTTTCAGTGTTTTAGAGTATAAGCCTGTATGGAGGGCTGTTCTGAAAATGGTTATATTTTGCACAATATCTAGATCATTTTAGTCATATCATAAGTGATTGGTGGTAAGGTAAAAGGCAGTAGCAAAAGAGGTAGACTGTATTTTGGATGGACCGATGCAGTCAAGGGATCCATGGCCCTGAGTTTGTAAGAACTGAGCAGGGCTGTTGATAATAGGATGAGTTGGAGATCTCTAATTCATAGGGTTGCTGCAAGTCAAACTAGTCGACTTGGTGGCAGTTAACAAAATGCAAAATCTTCTCATTGACTTGTACAATACAGTTCAGAAGAGATACCACAGATAAAGGCTAAACTGACTGGATATTGGTATGTTTAGGTCTATCTGACAGCTGGCAGTGTTTATGGTTTGGAAGGTCAGCTAAATGAGTTGGAGGAAGCAGCACGTGAAATTAACAGCATTACTGCTGAATCTGAACTGGCTGATCTAGAAGATCAAGTGGCAACAGCAGCAGCACAAGTTCACCACGCAGAGCGTCAGGTGAGAGTAACAGGGTTTTTTTTTATTATTTCTTTGATGTGCCAGGAAAGCTTCAAAGCATTGTGAAAATGCCCCTTAGAGGATCCAAAAAGAGTGATATTTTTTCTTAGGAGGATGTGCAGGGAAGAGGTGGCCCTCCAAGGTCTCCAAGTGAGCTAATGTTCCTCCCCTCCAGCTTTCCAAAGTTTTCCATTACTGTTGTAGATAGATATTATCTCTCAGTAGTCTGGAACTAAGCAGTAGAAGGCTTTAAAAATATGATCAACACCTTGAATTGACTCTTTTTCAACAATGGAATTATATGGTCATATTTGCTACCAGCAGGATTATTTGATAGTTTTTGTGTTTGGAAAGACTGTGATGTGTATTCAGACAAAATTGAAATGCATATTTCGGCTATTTGAAAAATGCTTAGAGTAAAGAGGAAACTACAGGAAACAGTATTTTCAATATATGGCATTTTTATTTGATTAGGTGTGACATCAGTTAAAACGGGTCCTCAAACTAAGATCTGGGGGCCGAATACAGCTCTCCAAGGTCATTTACCCGGCCCTCGCTCAGGGTCAACCTAAGTCAGAAATGACTTGAAAGCACGCAACAACAACAACAATCCTATCTCATGAGCTAAAAGCAGGCCCATACTTCCCATTGAAATACTAATAAGTTTATATTTGTTAAAATTGTTTTTCATTTTAATTATTGTATTTTTAGGTGTTTTATGCACTATAATAAAGATATGTGCAGGGTGAATTGGAATTCATTCATGTTTTTTTTTCCAAATTATAATCTGGCCCTCCAACAGTTTGAGGGACTATGACCTGGCCCTCTGTTTAAAAAGTTTGAGGACCCCTGAGTTAAAATATATACTTCTTTAACTGTAAATAAAGACATGCATGCAATTTCACAGTATTTTTAAAATAATAATTCTGTGTCTCTTTCTTTTTCACTCTCATAAATGAATGGTTTGGTTTTTTAAAGATTTCAGATATTGAAAGCAGAATTTCCGCACTTACAGTAGCAGGCTTAAATGTGGCTCCATGCATTCATTTGACAAGAAAACGTGAACAACAGCAGACAAATCAGGTGAGAAGAAGCAGCCAAGAAGGATGTAGCCATAGCTCCACCATGCCTAGGTCCAAAAGCAGATGAGAGGCCCTTCATCCATTCCAATTGCCATGCTCTGCTATGGCCTTGGAAGGAGAAAGGAAAAAGTAGTACTTACTGGGTTTACTTCTCTTCCACACTGCCATCCCCTTTTCTTTTTGTGACTTGCCTTAATTAGATTGTAGGGGTGGATGGATAGATAGATATTAATACATTTATACAAAAGCATGTTTCCATGTGCAGAGCCCTGCTAGCCACATTTCCACTAAAACGAGAGTCCAAATCCCTGTCACAATGCTCATAGAAGGATGAGATGTGTGTGATATGAATGATGAACAATATGTTTGCTTTTACCTGGTTGCTCGTACTATCAGTGCTGATAAGTGTTTCCTCGTTAATATGTACTATTTTTCTCCCCCATAGATGCACACAATAGACACATCCAGACAACAGAGACGAAAGCTTCCTGCTCCACCAGTGAAAGGTGATGGAAACTGAGAGGAAATACATTGCTTAATTTTAACCATTAGGCCCCACATCTGCAAGACCTGAGCTGAGTTGTTGAAAACAGAGCAACTTGGAGGTCTCTCATTCATACCATCAGCATAAGTCAATGTCAACTTGATGGCAGTTATAAAATGCAAGATTCCTTGTTACAGATAATTAACTGAATTTATTAACAATGTCAACTTTCTAAAGATTTGGAAAGCAGATTGCTAACAAATTAACAGAAACATTTTAAGGCTTCAATCCCATATACATTTTTCTCAGAGTTAGCTGAACTCTGCCCCAGAGTGTGGTGGAGGCTCCTTCTTTGGAGGCTTTTAAACAAAGGCTGGATGGCCATCTGTCAGGGATGTTCTGAATGCGATTTTCCTGTTTCTTGGCAGGGGGTTGGACTGGATGGCCCACGAGATCTCTTCTAACACTATGATTCTAAGCACCAATCAATTTGGTGGCATTTATTTCCAATATGAAATATTGGACTTACACTTTAGATGAATAAAAATAAACAGAAGCCAATTTTATTTCACAAAAATATAGATCATTAAAAATATAATTTATACCCCAAATGTTATATTTTGGTGCGTGAAAACTTTATTTCATGTTTTCCAGGTTTTTCTGTGCCTTCAAAGCTTTCAAGCTGGCATTAGTATTTGTTATCCATCTTAGTATATTAGATTGCAATTTCCTTTAAATGCTTAAATAACAAATCATTTATGGTATTGATTTAACTACAGTGGTATGATTTGCACTGGTGTTTCTTGGCATGGCATTCAACTCAGAGGTACTTGCTTAAGAGTGACATCGACAAAACCCTGTCTAGATTTGGAAAAGAAATTCATTCATTTATCCCTAATGGAATGGTATACAGCAGGCCCGTAGCCAGGATTTTGTTTGGGGGGGGGGCTGAGTTTGGTTCGGGGGGGGGCTGAGTCTGAGTGAAAGAGGGTCTACCCTAGCAAACCTTTTGTATCGTTACCCCAATACCCCCATGCATATGGGATATATTGAGTATAGTGATCAGATCATGATATGAATAAACATAGCAGTTTAAATAATGCACCAGTAAGGCCTTCTCGCGGACCACCATGAGAATTTGGGGGGGGGGGCTGAAGCCCCTCAAGCCCCCCCCCCGCTACATTGAGATTTGACACCTCTTCAATGGCCGTATCTCAGTGCTATGGAATTCTGGGAGCTGTAGTTTGGCGAGGCCCCAGCACTTTTTGGTAGAGAAGGCTAAAGACCTAGTTAAGCTGCAACTCCCAGGATTCCATAGCATTGCACCATGGCAATTCAAATGGTATCAAACTGCATTAATTCTGCAGTGTAGATGCACTCCAAGTGAAAACTGAAGTTGTGAATATGTATGTGTTTCTATCTGGCCTCAGATCTAGAAACAGTGAGAACACCTCACCATGCTTCAGGATGAAACATCTTTCCCACTTCTAGACACAAGATAGATGCTATACATCTTGCCCTTTCTTCTTAATACATGCCACGATTGTAAAGAGATTGCTGGAAATTCTCTTTTCAGGTGAAAATGTGAATGTCTCTCCAGTTACCCCTGTTAAAACATTTAACAGGAATTTTATACTTCAAGGATCTTTGACACAAAGAACAAAAATGGAGAGGAAAAGTACTGCCAAGGATTTGAAGGTAGGAATTAAATATGGGCTTGTATTCAGTCTTTAGATTCCTTTGTGCAAATGTGAAACTAAAATTCACATAACAATAAAATATGTCAAACTAAAAGAGACTTGAGACTTCAGTTTTGTGAGATACATACAAATGCATTCAGATGATATATTGGGGTGTGGGCACATCTCTTCCTTTTACACATGCACACACAAATCCTTATTATATTTCATAACTTCAAAACTAAATCAGTTTTGGAAATTAATTTAGGTTTAGATCTGTGTGAAAAAGTTCTGTCATCCTTTGGAGGAAGGAAGGTCTAGGTGAGGAAAGAGGCCATTGGGGTAACTGTTTTTCTTGAAATGAATATAGTAGTATATTTATTGTGTGAATTCTATCTCATAAAATTAATAGGTGGGTTGCTTTTTCAGTCTGTAGTTACCTTTTAGTAATTTTGTATCATTTATATTGCTTATTTAAATATTGCATTAATGTTATCTTCTCTGTTTTAGGAACCAACTATAGGGTCTGCTGTAATGTACTAGAATTGCAGAATTTTACTGCCAATAACACACTGCCTAAGGCTGCAAACTAGAGTGCCTTTATATAACAGCCATTGTATACATCCAATTGAAAAATGGACCCTCAAGAACCCACAATGCCTCAGTAATAGGGCTTTGTTTGGATACCTCACTGAGCAAGCTGTTCAAGTCTTCAGCATTGTGGTCTGCTGTTTGAAATTCTGCCTTAAAAGTTTTCAAGAGACTCTAGGAAGGACATTCAACTTCATATAAGCAAGATTCCACATTTTGCAATGCACTTTTCCTCACATTGTCAATTGTACTAAAGTATGTTGTCTTGAAAATACGTTATGTTTTGTAGTCTTAATTCATCCATTAATGTTGATCAAGGTCTTATGTGGAAGTCAAGGAAAAAGTCCAGTCATCCATCCTGTGATCCATATATCCTGGGATCTTATTGTTCACACAGTTAAATCTATATGATGTTGCCAGAGCAATAAGATTTCCAGGAGTAACCGGTACTCCTGAAACAGATTGTGAAGAGGCATAATAACCAAGGAGAAGATTGAATGCTGAAGGGGAAAGCAGTTTCCCGTTTGGGATTTCTTCTTGCATTTCATTACAGCATCCTCTGCTCGGCAGCACATGAATGTCCTAAGTGCATATGTTTGCTGGTTAAGTACACTTTACCCTAAATACATTGGAAACCACATCCATCCTCAAGAATTGCCAATCTAGTTGTATTGCCAACTGAAATCAGTCCATGCCAGTCAGTCTTTTTGCAACCTAACTTAGCTCAGGAGTGAACATTCAAACTAGTTTATCAACTTTACTTCCAAAGTTATAAATAATGAATTTTTAAAAATGAGCTTGGCAAACAAAAGTGATCACCCTATATGTTTTGAGAAGTGCATAATGGTGGTTTAAGGACAATATTGGGCCCTTGCACACAGCCCTATATTCCAGAATATCGAGGCAGAAAATCCCACCTTATCTGGGTGTAGACTCAGATAACCCAGTTCAAAGCAGATATTGTGGGATTAAATCCCTTGATATTCTGTAGGCTTGGGTGATCAAGAAAAAAGTGGTTCTAAACTCATTTCGTATATATGGGCATTTCGATTTTGAAATGATTTCTGAAATTTTCTTGAAAAAAAAGATCGGAAATAGTAGAAATCTGAATTGTTTTGTTTGCTTCGTTAATAGAAGGTGCCCCTCCCTCCAGAACCATTAACTTTGACAAAGTCAGAAAGCCTAAACAGTTTTAAAATCTCGCAGTTTTTTCTGAACAAAAATGTGTTGTTGGTTTGAAAAGCATTTTCAATATGACAAAATCCTAGGTGGCGGCGAACGGCAATGGATTGCAGAGTCGCCGATGCAAAGAGGGGCATGGCCTTCAGGAAGAGCTGTTCTTAGCCACGCCCACCTCGTCCCTCTTTGCATCGCCAGGGGTGCTAAACCACATCCGAAAATAATTCCAAACAATGAGGAAGTTGTTTCAGTTCGGAATTGCTCCTCCCACTATTCCTGCATGGCTCAAAATTGGACCAAAAGGTAATTTAATCTGAATTACGATTTTAGAAGCTTACGAACAAACTTACCCAAGCCTAATATTCTGGGATATAGGGCTGTGTGGAAGAGCCCGTTGTGATCCTCCTTTAAACTGGAAGGTTAATGTTAGGTTTCTCTCCAGGAGGCATAGATTCCCAACTGTTCCCTATAACTGACTGTCAAAAACTGGCACTGGACCAAAATCATTAGGGAAGAAGGGTTGTCAATTGAATATCATGAGCTAAAGTAATCCAGAAGTGCTGAGCACAATAGAAAGTGTCTAAATTTACTTTAATTGCAGCAACTGCAGAATAGTCAAGGCTCAGAATGTATAAGTATCAAAGGATATGGAGTTCTAATTAAACTCCAGTTCAGCTCAACACAATAAATGAAATTAGTCTTACTAATCTTCCTCTCATATCATGGTGTTTGCTGCCTGGGACCTCCAGATACAAACTGAGGTCATTGATTCACAATCCCTGCACAAGATTTGCACTTGATGCTCTTTCTTAGTAGATACAGCTAGAATGCCATTTCCTATGGAGATATCAGTTCACTTATTAGAGCGCCACTATATCCATAAGCATGGATTACAAGTCTAGAAAAGCTCACAATTTCCTCACTCCTTAACTTTACAAATGGAGGGGTGGTAGTCCAAAGCACACTTCCTAGGGAGCATGTCCCACACAACTTAATGGAACTTACTTCTGAATAAGGAGGCATAGCATTTTAGCAGCAGCATCAGAAGTATGTACCTGCAGCAATCTAAACACCATTTGGTTTATTCCTAAGGCTTTATCTAAAATTCTGATTTTTTTTTACTGCAGACAAGATAATGCCATCATGTCCGTGCATGAAGTTCTTATTCATCTTTTATAGACTTGACTAATCAGATGGCAAAATTTTGTCTGCAGTGCATAACAGTCCATATAGTATGAAATCTAATAAAAGCTTGTTTAAGAATTAGGGATTGAATACAATTGTAAATTACTCACTTCCTATTCACCTGACTCTTTCTGCACTTGTCCAGAATACATTCCCAGATTCTTGTTTTTGCAGATCTGCGTGTAACTGAGATGTCAAAAAACGACAGATGGTCTACATATTTGTCCAATGATACTATTAGCTAACTCGGTGTATGTAATATTGAATCAAGACATGACCACTTTTAATAGGTAACTCTTTGGCTTTTGTTCTGTTGGTGTGATATAAAACAACTCAGTTTGAAATAGAATGTTTTCCATAAGAGGCATGAAAAGCAACTATAGTGTTCAAATGTTAAACTATTCAGTCTTCTTTGAGAAAAATGTGTACTGTGTAGGCAATGCAAAAAAAAAACCAGAAAGACAAGAAGTTCCTGCCTGCTGTGTGGCATTTCAATTTTTACAAAAGTTTTACTTGTGCCAAATGTGCAAAGATTTAATTTACAGTTTTGAAGAAACCATAAAAATGTATATGTTACAGCACACGAAAATGATTTTGTCATCTAGTGATTTCAATCAGTATTAATATTTATATTTACATTATTTTTTATAAATGAGAAATATTTTAATGGTGGAAACAATGAAGTCAATATGATTCAGTCTGAGTGGAACTTGACACTTGCCTTGTTGTTGTTATCTGCATTCTGAGCAGGTGGTATTGTCAAGAAAAATGATATAAGAGTAAAGCAAATGATGTGTAGGAAAAATTACTTTGGGGCCCCATGATTGGTGACAGAAAATATAACAAACTTGGAAGAATTGAACTTTGATATACTTGGCTTAAGAGAGTTATCAGATTTTAACTCCAGCTGTTTCCGATGTGTTAACACTATACAGGCAGTCCCTGAGTTATAAACATTTGATTTACAAATGACTCATAGTTAAAAACAGGGGTGAGACAATGAGAAGTGAGAGGAAATCTACTCCCCAGAAGGCAAATTCACTCTTGAAAGAGTTATCTTTGGAAATAAGTGTCTCTACTGAAGTTTTATCACCAACAAGCCAAAATTTTCAAAATCCAATCACAGGGACAGAAAGTGAGATGAAGTCTTCTGAACAGGGACACAGACAGCTGTTGGGGTGTTAACCCTTCCCTATGCTATGTTACATGTGAAAAATATACCTGTTATGACTTCCATACAAATTCAACTTAAGAACAATCCTACAGAACCTATCTTGTCCATAACTTGGGGACTGCCTGTGTACACATTCCTTTCACATGTTGCATTAATTGGGGCATAAAGCAAAAATGCCCAATACATTGAGTATAAGACCTTCACAGTGTGCTTCTCTGTTTATTTCCATTGACTTCTGTAATAAATTCCAGGACCTACTACTAATCCAAGGAGGCCTATTCCACCTGTGTCATTTGGATGTTGTGGTAGCCCTCACTTTCCTGTATTCAAACACAGGACACAGACTTCTGGGAAATTCTGTAGCACAGGGTTCCTTAAAATGAATGGTAGTGTTCTTTCATAGTTGTATTTCTTGCATATGAAAATATTCTAGTAGAGTATACTCCATCAGCCATATCTGTTGTTCTTATTTGATCAGAGCACAACTTTCCGAGGGCTCACCTCTCTGTGTATGGCAGTGGTTCTCAACCTGTGGTCCCTGGGCCACCAGTGGTCCACAAGAATGAAAATATGGTCCATGGCCTCACCATTACTACAACGTTGCCTTGAAACCATGTGGCAATGAGAGTGACTGGTTTCGCGAAACCTAAGGCAACTGGGATGTCGGGAGGGGAGAGGCTGACTACTCATGAAAGATTACTACCACCACATCAGCTCTAGATTATTAAATATGGTTTTCTGTGGGCAAGCAGATGGTGACTACTGAATGGCATATGTTCTGTATCAGAAACTAGAGCTGATGTGGTATATCCAAAGAAGTGTTCTGAATCAGAACCCCAAATAATCAAACCAAATCCAAAGTTGGCCAAAAACTGATTTGTGACCCTTTTGGTACTAATGTTGGAGAGTGGTCCCTGGTCACAGTGTTCCCTGATCAAAAAAAAAGGTTGGGAACCACTGGTGTATTGTATGGATAACAGACCTAAAAACACTCAAGAGCTAACATTTCACATCTGTTTAATAGTTTTATGCACTGGATTTTATTAGTGCTGTTTACATTCATAATTACACACTGAGATAACACAGCTTTTTTTTCAAACATTCATATTTTTTTTGGATGAGCTATCTTTAAAGTTTCTCTCCTACTGAATATTTCACATTGAGCATGAAATGTCACTGTGTCCTGCACATGCAAATAAGATGGCTACGATACATGTCAATCTTTAAGTTGGTAGCCAATGCCATATAATTAATGTCTCATTTTTTAAAATGATAGTAATTAGCAATTTGGAGTAAGTTTCACAGAGTAGACTGGATAGCAGAATTCTTGCTCTAAATATATGTAATTTGCATATGAGGTCATTGTCAATTTAGGAAAATGGAGCCAGGGTGAGCAGAAGGTGGATTTCTAGGTGAGAGGTTGTAGATTGGAAAGTGTCTGCGACTACCAAACGTGAAACAATTGCAACAAGTAAAAGGCTCCACCACTCCCAATTAAACTGATTGAAAATAATGGAGTATGTGTAGGGAAAGACATAAAAATAATCTATGTGTTAAAAAGATCCAATAAGCTTAACTCTGATGCTCATCGAATATTCCTGGGCTGACCATCAACTCTATTATTTCACTCTCAAGAAAGTGCTTGCTTATCTGAACAATTATTTTGCACTTGATTCTTTTTGATAGATCTCAGGTTTCCAGCAAAAACAAAACAAGTAGATCCCACAAACCTGATGTCTGCCTGCCCACTAAGGGGGTTGGATGGGGAGTATGAGAATGAAATGTGATGGCACTCAATACAGAGAATAAGATATTTTATAGCAAGCATAGCAGACAGGAACAAGATCACCAGCCATTCTCTTCTGCGTCCAATGCTTCTTGGTCCTGTAAAGCAGTCAATAGTAGATCCAAGATGCTGTTCCTAGATCTTTGGCTGTTCTTCAGCTGTCTTTTCCCAAACCGACCAATAGGTCGAACTCCACGTCCCACATACCAAAATGGATCAATCTCAGGACCTGGGATTCAAAACAGTCAGAGAAAATAAAAATGTGATTCCTTTCATCAATTCACTGTGAAAAGAGTTTTCCTGGTCAATTACCACATAGATAGATAGATAGATAGATAGATAGATAGATAGATAGATAGATAGATAGATAGATAGACACACAGACACACAGACACACAGACACACACATCCTAAAAAAACATGCTTTTTTGCTGCAAGTGGACACAATAAAAGAATGATGCCATGCATTTCTGAAAGCAAAGGACAGGTAACATGACTATATAGCATCTCCTGTTTATGATTAGTGAACATATGCAAGGGTAGTTAACTGGCAAATGACCCAGAACAAATGACCCTATGTCAGATGAATCAAGTCAATGGCAATAGTAAGTATGCTGTCCTGACTGAGAACCCATGTGACTATGGTTTTCTGATTTATGGTAACCCTGTCGTGGTCTGGTCTTGCTATAACTAAATGCACCAAAGAGTTGCCAGTTTTTTTAAAAAAGTGGCAAACATAGTTGCAACGAGTGCAGTTGACTTGTGAACCTTTAATAGGTAGGTTGCTCCAGAAGCATTCCCTCCTGACGTTTCACCCACATCTATGGCAGGCATCCTCAGAGATTGAGGGGTCTGTTGGAAACTAGGCAAGTGAGGTTTATATATCTGTGTAATGTCCAGGGTGGAAGAAAGGACTCTTGTCTGTTTGAGGCAAATGTGAATGTCACAAATGGCCACCTTGATTAGCATTTAAGGTGGTCTATTAAACTATCTACTTTAATAAGTAATTGGCCTAATATGCTCCCAGCTACATGTCTTGTATTTCAGAGAAATACATGCTTGTTGGGACAAGGAAATAATGCTTGCCATGAAAATGGTTATTTACAGCTTTGCTGTCACTATCACTAACAGTTTTATCATGATTTAAGAAATAAATATCCTCTTCCTTCAGAAAATATTATCTGGAATACTTATATGTCACCAAAGAATAAATACAGGATTCAGTCATTCCATTTCTCTCACACACTCTTCCAACTCCTTCCTCCCTCTCTCTATTTGATTCATTTATTCAAGCCTTTGGATTTTGATCAGTATATTGCATTGAAAATAAATTAACCTGAGAATTAAAAAGGAAAAAAAAATACATTCTACCTTTGCATATGGAGCAATGTGAAGAGGCGTGGATCTGGATCCCCTGAAAAGGGTGTCCAGCTCCATAGTACACCAAATTGTGCAGTAGACTCCTATTCAAGACTCCTATTCAAGACTTTCACAAGGAAGAAAGAGATAAAAGACATATTATCATCCTATTTCCCTGTCCTGAAACATCGCTTCTTTGAGGTTGTGAAATGTCAAGAAACAGAGGAGGGGAGAAATTGGTTCTTTCCCTCTCCTGAAATCACCCCCTGCCTCTATAGGCTCCAAGCAGCTCCGGATTTAGTCTAGATGATCATTTCTGACATTTGATGCAAGCTTAGAATGCTTTTATGAAATGTGATTATCTAATTTGATTACTGGATTGTGAAGAAAGATCAAACCAACAGTCTTGAGCAAAAGAGCAAGCCAGAAATCTTAACTTGAAAATCTGACAAGTTGTGACTCACTTCTGTTGTCAATTTGATGATTGAAGACTTTTCTTTGCCCTGCAGTGAAGCTGACTGAGAGTAACAACACCAAGATATAGACTGTAATCAGTTTTGAAGCTTTTGGCCAAGAGGATTGCTGATGTGGATGAAATTTCAATGCGGAAGCCAACATGATGAGTCAACTCTGGAAGCATGAGGCACAAAGAAAAAGGAGATTAAATAGAAATGCATCAACTTTATCCCCATGTGGCAGATAACACACATGCAAAGTTTCAAGCAGAACTGAACAGCCTATAATTATGACTGAATCTACTCATTCATTCACAAATAAGTGTCATAAGTAGAACAGTGACTAGAGTGTTGGATCCTCACTGAACAACACGTCTTACTGGGTGATATTGTGTTTATGCAGACTTAATTTGTGGCTCAGTAACCTAGCTAATGAATTGATCATCAACTGGGATAAAAGTAAACATAAGTCGTACAATTTTTTGGCAGAATTGCTCTGTTCTGGCATCAACTCTATCCTTATGTCTCGATGAGACATATGTAACAATGGGTGCCCTGGGAAAGGGCTGTCCATTTCTATGGGTACCAAAATGTGCATTCATCCAGTTTAGGGAAACTTGCATGAGAATTATACAAGGACACGATTTGCTTCCAAGCAAGGGCTGCCCTTGTTAGAGTAAGGCAAAGATAAACACATACACAATTCCATTTTTCAATTGCATTAATAATTTTATTTCTTACTCATCTCTTCCCATTACTTGAGGCGGGTCACAGCAACTGACTGTACTTTATAAAATATTTTAGTTCGGATGCTTTATCTAAGCATCTCTGGAGGAAGCAACAGAAGCTGGGTCTACATTGCCATAAAAAAATCCAGATTATCTGTTTTGAACTGGGTTATATAGCAGTGTAGACTCATATCCAGTTCAAATCAAATAGTGTGGATTATCTAATTTGATAAACTGGGTTATATAACAGTGTAGATCCAGCTAGAGACTCCAACACATTCATTTTGTCTCAGGTTTTCCAAAATGAAAATGCTCAGAAAAATTATGTGTTTGCCTTTCCGTGATGTCCCTTTCTAGCCTGTTTTTGACCTCTTCTACACTGTCCTTATATCTGCTTATCCCAGATTATATGGCAGTGGAAACTCATATAATCCAGTTCAAAACGGGTAATCTGGGATCAGATCCTGGGATATAAAGAGAGTGTAGAAGCAAGAGTCCTCTGAAGGCTGAAAGGTTAAGATAAAAAATCATTTAAAATGGAAAAACAAATTACAATCCTACATACACTCATCAAATAAGTAGGACAAAATTATTTGCTTTGCTGATGAGATGAACATTGATAGAAAAGAGATACAGGTCCTGCAAAAGAGGCAAAACTTTTAAGATGATCACAAAAGAGCTCCTACAATCATGAGTATTTTTATACTCCTTCCTTCCTTCCTTCCTTCCTTCCTTCCTTCCTTCCTTCCTTCCTTCCTTCCTTCCTTCCTTCCTTTCCCATCTCCTTTTCCTTATCCTCTGATTTCTTTCTTCCATTCGGAGGCACCAAGAGAAGAGGTAAAGAGATGAAAAAGCAATTCAGCAAGAGCTTTCTGTTCCCTTGGTAGCCACACTTACCTGCTTCCTCAGGGGCTGCTCAGCAGGTGACCAATACTCCAAAACAGCCATAGCAAGACTCTTTATAGTTCTCTGCCTGGAGGGAGAGGAAAGAAGAAAGGGATATGAATACATCAGCTGTATTGATGAGTAATATTTAAATAAAAGAATATGTCTTCTTCTAGTGGTGCCATTTCAAAGGCAGATCAAGAGGCAAGCTGGAGTGGCATTGACAAAGCATCTTTTGGGGGCTCCTTGTTAGCTTTGAACAACCAAGACCATTACTCCAGAGAAAGGGACAGCAAGAAAGGAAGAGAGGAATTATACTTTAGCTCTATCGATCTATTCAGAGCTGGAATGGAAGCCATATCTCAAGCTGAACTCTGCTCCGAGCTAATGTGCTAAGTAGAACCTAATTTACGAGGCTTATTTTGTTTAACTGAGAGATTTATTTGCCACTTTTCTGGCCAAATTCTCCAAATGTCTTGTAAGAAATAAACATAAATACACAAAGTATGTGCACACTCAGAGAGACACACCAGTAAAATATAGTAAAAGAGTAAGAGTGTATGTTGATAGAATTCCTGTATAAACATACAAAATAATAGAGGATCTAAAAGAAGAAGATACCACATCTTGCATCTAGAATGAGAGCAGACAAACCTTAGGCAGAAAAAATGAAATGCAAAGATACAGAATGGGGGACGCATGGCTCGAGAGCAGTACATGTGAAAAAGATCTTGGAGTCTTCGTGGACAACAAGTTAAACATGAGTCAACAATGTGATGTGGTGGCAAAAAAAGCCAATGGGATTTTGGCCTGCATCAATAGGAGCATAGTGTCTAGATCCAGGGAAGTAATGTTATCCCTCTATTCTGCCTTGGTTAGACCACACCTGGAATATTGTGTCCAATTCTGGGCTCCACAATTGAAGAGAGATATTGACAAGCTGGAATGTGTCCAGAGGAGGTCAACTAAAATCATCAGGGGTCTGGAGATCAAGCCCTATGAGGAGTGGCTTAAAGAGCTGGGCATGGTTAGCCTGAAGAAGAGAAGGCTGAGAGGAGACATGATAGCCATGTATAAATATGTGAGAGGAAGCCACGGGGAGGAGGGAGCAAGCTTGTTTTCTGTTGCCCTGGAGACTAGAAGGCGGAACAATGGCTTCAAACTACAATTAAGGGCGATTCCATCTGAACATGAGGAAGAACTTCCTGACTGTGAGAGCTGTTCAGCAGTGGAACTCTCTGCCCTGGAGTGTGGTGGAGGCTCCTTCTTTGGAAGCTTTTAAACAGAGGCTGGATGGCCATCTATCAAGGGTGCAATCCCCTGCCAAGAATGCAATTTTCTTGCTTCTCGGCAGGGGGTTGGACTGGATGGCCCATGAGATCTCTTCCATGATTCTATGATTCCCAGGGAAGCAATTCCAAGGTGGGCCACTAAAATTTGGGATGTCCTGTGTCCACTGAACACATCTGCATTATGTGTGATCCAAGCATGGGAAGATATAAAAGAGTCTCAAAACACAAATTCAAGGAGGTTTGTACTGGAGAACCATCTTTTCTGGATCACTTTCTTTGGCCTTTGCGGCAAGAGGGAGGAGGCTCGGGATAAGAGCACAGACTTCAAAAGTATTCTACTTTGTTAAGCTTTTTTTTTAAAAAAACATTGATATTGCCAGAGTTCACTCCCTGGAACATCAGCAAGCCCCAATCTTGCATCACTGCTGGTCTCTGGTTCTGAAATCTCAGAGACAGGGATGGTACTAACCTGAAATCTTATTTACATCTGAATTTCTTGGTTTCCATCTGGTCCACTGCCAACCACATTACTCACATTGATGAAAAGGAGAAAGAGAGCTGGGTGACATAGCCATAAGGAATGTCTGCTTCACCCAAGACCACCGAAGATGGCAGGGAGTGAGAGTTTTCTTCACCATGTAGCCCTTGACCTATTTTTAAAGCCTGCAATGGATTTATCCTGGCTCCAGGTAGGAGCAAGCTCATCTTTCAACAGCAGGTCCCTGGGCAGGGAGAAAGATGTGAGCAGAATGCTTTTTGCTCTGGCATTGGCCCATCGGACATATGACACTTGTCATGTATTATTTCTATAATTGGTAGTGGTGGTGGTAGGCCTAGCAGTTGGTAATGGAAGGGTTAATGTGAGTCTTGGTTCTAAAGAGTTGTGTAATCTGTAAGTAAGAGTCAATGGGTGAAAGCAATTAAGGGTGGAGGTATGCAAGTGATGGGTTGCAGCTGAGAAGTTTCTGGATATAAGGAGCTAGCCTTGGGACTGATCTTCGGGAGAAAAGTATTTGTTATATGTTGGTGGTGGATGCTGCTGGTTTTCCCCCAGGTTGGTTGGATTTTCGGTATCCTGACCTGTCTCTTGTAATCTTGGAACCCTGGAATCTTGAACCTCTGGACTGGCTTTTGATACGGTATAGACTCTTGATCCCTGGACTGTTTATTGAACTCTCGACGTTTGACCACTGGACTAGACCCTTTGACTACAGTGTAGCATTTTCTATCAGTTTTTGTTTATTCTGTGGCTGACTGCTATCTTTATGTTTTATATTTTGGACTATTAAAACAGCCAGAAAGTAAGTGCTGTTTTAATTAAATTGTTTAACACAAACTGGGTTTTGTTTGGTTCATCTCTGCCTCTGAATAAGGCAGAGCCCTAGCAACGTAACAACACTAAACATTAGAAGGAGGAGAATAAGGGGGATACGTCCCTTTGTCAAAACAACAATGACATTTTATTATGGTCCAAAGACCCATTTTTCTAAAGGTTTACAAGGTTAACAGCAGGCTTGATTATTCATCTTTGACAGATTTGATGGTTTACTGACAAGAGTGTATTTTCAGTATTCAGTGGACTTTCACTGAATATTTCATCACATAATAGTTGCTAGTCACATCCCCATTTTTGGATCCCGGTTTCAGTATTTAAGGATTCCTTGCATAATAGTTGCACCTCTTGCCTTTGTGCCTGCCCCTTGGAGCTATCAGACTTCCCAGCTGAGGGAAGCTCCCATTGCGCCGAGGGGCAGGTGTGCAGGCAGGTGAAGGAGTGAGAGCTATGGGGCTCCCTGCTGTCAGCCAAGGGAGGTCCTACAGCTCTCTCTTGCTGAGGTGTCAGCTAAAGGAGGCCTCATAGCTTCCACCAGCAGGTGTGCGGGCAGCTTTGCAGCTATGGGGTTTCCCTCAGCTGGCAACCGAATAAAGCCCTTAATTGCAAAAAAAAATCCACCATATAACACTCACACCCCATTTTCCACTCCTAAAAAGGGGACTGCGACTATTATGTGGTGAAATATGTTAACTATTGGGCATTCTAAACCAAAGGATTAGGGATTAAGCAGCTATTTCTACACAGTCAGATTGTTCGTCTACTCCCTCTGTCTCTTCCTTACGTTTCTACTGCAGGCATTCCCTGATCAGTTCTGATCTCTAGCAACCAAAGTGACATCAGCCTGTGGTCTACTGAGCCTCAAGGACCAACAATCTCTCCATGACGTGAATGGAACATTTGTCCTGACTTGGCTGCTGTAGGGAACACAGAGGGACCACCTTCAAGGCGTCCATGCTGCCCTATAAGAAAGATTTCCTAAACTGACAGTTCAGACCCAAGTTCACATGCCAACCACAACACTGCCTAAGATATCACATTTATTACAAAGTATATATAAATGGGGGATCAGTTATGATGCTTGATTGCCACACATTTTAAAAATTATTTATTTGCAGTCTACATTTTACGAAATGCATTTTTAAAATCTTAGTTGTCTGTGGACTATGGCACCTTTCTAACTTACAAAAAAAGGTCTTCTAAATTTGTGGGCTACATGATCTAAGGAAACCATAGAAACATATTTTTCTTTACCCTAATAGTAGTTCAATTAGTTGTGCAATGAAACATCAACACTCCTTCAAAGCCTGAGAGTTACAATAGTGCTTTCTGAAGACGACTTAGTCAATAATGCATATACAACATGCTTTCTCTCTTACTCACTTTGAGCACATTACTCTTTGTACTCCAGAAGTTGAAAAGGAAAGCACTTACAAACTGAATCAATGTTCACACTGTCGCTATGTTAATTGCAGATCCATGCATATGTTAATGGACAAAATACACTGTAGTTTTGGGTACTAAAGCGTCAACAGTTCCTTCTGTTTTGCAAAGTATCCTAACAGGAGAAGGGGAAAGAGCAGAGATGGGTGGGGGCAAAAGAAGGACCCTATTCCTCCAAATAAGATTTCTAACCCCACATGAAATTCTCCTTCAGTAGGGCCAGATTCAAGATGATGATGATGATGATGATGATGATGATGATGATGATGATGATGATACATTTTATTTATATTCCATTTTATCTCCCCAGAGGGAATCATGAGCAGATTACAATACACATATGACGCAAACATTCAATGCCTTTTTATACAACAGTGAACAATGAAATACAACATAGACAAAAGTAAAGGCCTTCCCCTTTTTTCCATCTCCGAAGGTGATGCTCAATTCCAGTCATCGGGAGGCGTGCTTGTTCCATTTTTCCATACTGAGGATCCTGTTGTCCATTGAGCTCTCCAATACTGTTTCCGACATGGGGTGCTCTTTTATCTTCCCATCAAGGCAGTACCTATTGATCTACTTGCATTGCACGCTTTCTAATGGCTAGGTTAGCAGGAGCTAGGGCTGACAGACAGGAGCTCACCAGGACTTGTGGCTTCAAGCTGCCAACCTTCCAGTCAACAGCTTTTCTGCAGCTAGCGGTTTAGCCCACTATGCTACCACTGTCCAGGACACTACAACGTGATAAAAAAGTGTGGGTATGAGTCTGCCCAATCAAAAAATATATTAAAAAGCTTGTTGCTTGACATGGCTGAATGTGTGGTTAACTCTGAAGAACAAAACAAATATAGCAGGCACCGGCCTGTAACCATGATTTTGATTTGGGGGGGGGGGGGTGTGCTGAGTTTGATTTGGGGGGGGGGGCTGAGTTTGATCAAAACCCTAGCAAACCTTTTGTATTGCTACCCCAATACCCCCATGCATATGGGATATATTGAGCATGGTGATCAGATCATGATAT